AATATTATGATGATTTCTTCTGATTTCGTCTCTTCCCTTTAAAAAGAAAGAGGAAACGATAAGAAGTTATAACCATCTTGGGGGCCCATATCCAAAAGGACAATCCAAAAAAAAGGGTTGGCCCCTATCGGTTTTTAGGTTTTTCGCTATATTTTGATAACGTCATGACCGTTCCCTTACTACTGTCCTTTTACATAGAGTTAGTCGGCTACTCATATGAGGAGGGATGTTGAATCTCTTCAGGCTTCAGAGAACTTTTGGGCTTGTTTGACCCCCAGGAGTTCAAAACTTTCATGTCTTATCTCAAAATTCTGGACCCTTTAGAAACAGGCTCGAACATGATATGGCCCTTGCTTTCACGCCCCTCAAAAAGACTCCGAAAACGTGGCGACGTCATCCCTCAATCAGCCCCACACATTCATGTCATGCCTCAAGACACAAAAAAAACGGCTTGAGAGTCAGTTTCTTCTAAACCGCCCTGAGCCCTGGCCCACACCTTAAGCCCACTCAAGCCCCACTCATGGTTTTGATGGAGCCGCTCGAGACTGAGGATTTACAGACAGGGCCACTTTGGGGCTCTACAGAGCTGCCATGAAGGAGAAAGACTTCCCCTACCCTCGTTTCAGCCACTGCTACCGGAAACGATTACCAGAAATGCAATGATTTAGGAGGGCCACTCTCACTCTGGGAGAGACCCATCCCTCAAGCTTGCCAGCAGAACGCTGGCTCCACCCTCCATTTTCCGAGCTCCCATGGAGCGATCTCTACAGGCATCAACCTCAGCAGAATATTTGGTGAGGGCGGAGGGTTTGTGGCTCTCAAGTCTGCTTTGCAAGGGCTTGAGATTTGGGGTTGGAGTGCTGGAGTTCTTTCAAGTGGCTACCTGATGAATGGATGACGTCCTTAATCTGCTCTTCTCGTGTGATTCTACCTTATCCCACTGCCCCTGGACTTCTCCATGACAAGCTCTTGGGCCGTCGTGCCCTAGTGTTTCTCTGGCTCGTGCCAGCACTCCTAGCTCCTTGTAGAATCATTGCAAGGGCTTAGGGGCAGAAGTAAGAAGCCGCAAGAACTACCAGCTCCAGCAGTACCATCCCCAACCCTAAACCCAAAAACCCCAAACCCTCAATCCCTGTCGGCTCTAAGCATCTTCCTCAGTGCGTGGCCCGGAGCTTGAGGCCATGTGAAAAATGAGGCCTCAGAGCTCAGGTCTTTGGGTTTAGGACTTTGGGCGCATGGTTCACGGTTGAGGTCCTGGGCTTGGGAATCTTGAGAGTGGGGTGCAGTGCAAGATTGTGAAGCTCAAGCCAATCCGACCACAAACGCCGGTGACCGAAGCATGAGCTGCCGGCAAAAGATTTTGCCCATCATTGGGATTGGCAAATGCTTTACTGAGTACAAACTTGCTTTCGAAGATCCTGCAACCCTATACTAGGGGACTTTGAACCTAGTGCGTGCGGCTGCTGGTTTGGATGCGTGCACGGGGTATGAACGCAGCTGTCGAGATTGAGCCGCCCAAACGAACATTGAAAATCTCATCTCAACCTGGGGTACAGGAGAACGCTGACATTTTGCTGGGGTGAGATGATGGCGACGTGATCGCGGCAAGAAACATCCTGCTACCCTCATCATCTGACCATGACTGGTCTTCCCGTGGAGTATCACGATCCCTGAGATCCTAGACTTTGACAATACCTGTCGCCAAGCCTTGTCAATCCCCATATGCCCCGCCAAATCTCGAACTAGGCTGGCATCATCAAGATGGAGCAAAGGAGGCAACTGTCATGCTTCATACATCAGGGTCTCACTCCGAAACCAGGAAGACCCTTCTCTATGCACATCTCACAGGTCGGCAACAAACCCAGCAACTTGATCACCAAAAGCTGCGGACCCATTCGTCATTCGGGAACCCGCATCTTGCTGGTTCGTAACTAGTGGGGAATAGAGGCACCATAGGCCATACAAGCCGTACATAACCTCTCAGAACATAGCAGTTTCGATTTGATCTTCCGTTCCTTCATTCCCTACTAACGACTGGCAGGTAATACGATAGACTGAGGGCAAGACATGCGATGGCTACCTGGTAGGGGGCAGCTGATCCAAACGAAACTTCGGCTGGTTCATGGTGAAAAGTTGCAGCAGGCCGTCTAAGACCAGATTTCCCAAACCTCATGGAGGCTCAATGGGCTTTTGATTTTCTACCCGTTTTCAGACACCTATTACGTGGCGTTAGCAAGTCGGCACTGCATCAAGAGAATGTTCTGGGGCAGCTCTCGACAAAAATGACGACTGGTAACGAAACATGCCTAAGAAGTACTGCCAGGCAGTCATGTCAGCACGCAGTGTCCTTTCCTCCTCACTACTCATTACCACTCCACCATGAACAACAGGCCCACAAACAACCACTGGCTCAACCCCGGAACCCGGCTCAGTGCCAAACACTGCAGCAGCTGGCCATGCGACCAATCTCCAAGCCTCAAACTGGAAGCAGGATTCAAGTTTTTAGGATGTAGGCTTGGAAAGGATTTCATCGTGGGGTTCACCGACCAAATAATCAGGATGGTTCCTCTCAAACCAGGGTCCTTGTAGCTGCGAAGATAGCGAGTCCAGGGTTCGGTTGTTGTTTGTGAAGCGTCGCAGTGCCAGCCCAAGCATCAAGGAGAGAGATCTTCACCAGTGTTGCACATAGGGTATATGAGGTTTGTGGCCAATCAGCTGATTGCAATTTGCCTGAAGTTGCATGGTGCAGCAATGTACGTCAGTGTTTGCTCAGGGTACTCTTCCCAAAGTGGGGGAAACCAATACTAGGACCAGAATTAGGCACCCGCAGGCAGGGACGCCTATGTTTTGTCAGTCTCCAGCATGTCCCCATATGTATCAAAGTTATGATGGATTCTTCTCAGCTTTCATGAGTCTCTACACGAAGCCGAATTTGAGGTTCTGGGCATGCTGTCACTACTGATTGAATAACCATCTCATGAAAACTCATGCATGAAACCAAGGGGGTCCTACACCCTGAACCCCAAACTCAGTTGAAGGGTTTGGGGATCGGGATCGCTGATGACAATTGCAACAAAGATGATAGCAATGGTAATACTGCCCCCCAAGCCCTCAAACCACAAGCCAATGCTGGAGTCCCCGCATCGGCGTTTGGATCGGCCAATCATTCCGAGAGCGCGCAGCTTTCGGTCCTTGTATGCCTCCCAAAGCAATGGTGCTTCTAGCGTGGGAACATCATGGCCTTACATGGAAGTTTGTCTTTTTTTTTTTTTAATAATTGTGATCGCAAGGACGACCGGTGTGTAGAACGTGGAGGACCGTACTTGGGCTGTTTGAGTCTTAGAGTCTTAGAGCCTGCAGGGCCTCGCAACAAGCACTCCCACTGCAAAGCCGCAGTGAACAAGCAAACCATCTCACACTTTTGGCCAAAATGCTGCTGTGACTGTGCAGCACTAAACAACCCTTAACCCTAAAGCCCTTCGACCCCAAGTTCGGAATTCCTTACTCGAAGTAAGAGCTCTCATGTCTTCCACTCTTTTCCTCGACCATCTCCAACACAAAGCATGATGTCTGCATAAAATGCGGAAAAAAACAGAGTAATTGGCGTTTCAAACCTCACCCTCCCCCCTCCTTCGCATAGAGAGTCCAAGTATCTTACCTATAAGCACCCACCCTAGACGTTTGATCCATCTTTTTGAGAAATCTGACACACAGCCGAGGCAGTGCCTGCCCACAGATGGGACCTAGCCAGGTTCTTTCGGAAGTCTAAGCAGATAAGGATTATGAAGGATCTTCTCAAACAGCAGGCATACCATCTCTTAATTCTGTGGGCTTCGGTTAGTGTTCAGCCAGGCTTGTCAAAATTTACGAGGGAGCACGAGAAATGGAGGCCTCGGTGAACCCACATCCTTTGGCCCCTTGGCCCCCAATCCCATATTGCAAGCTATCGATTGATAAGGATTTTAGCCCACAGAGGTTAGCTTTCGTGATAGCAGGACCTCCTCTTGGGAAAGCTACCTACGAGTAGTAGGAGTGTCTGTCTAGGCGCTATAGGCACTGCAGGCCCCAACATGCGGGTCTGAAGGCCGCCACAGCTTTAGCGGCAGAGACAGCCCAAAGTTTGGCACATGAGGACCGAAATCACTTTTCAATCCAACAAGAAGTTCTCCTCTACACCACGCAGAGTGTCTGCCTAACGGTGACAAGCAGCTGATCCTAATCATACCTGTTGAAATGAGTCTAGGCCCTGGACAAGTCGGAGAATGGTTTCGGCGGATCCATTCCGCAGCACAAGCACCTGGCTGCACACCGACATGGCTTTAGGTAACGCAAGCCTAAAGCATAACGCTCTGCTGCACACTCGAGGCCTCTAAATTGGCTTGGAATCTCCAAGCCCACAAGCTACTGACGCACAGATTAAAGGATATGTATACATATATATATATACATATATACACATTTATATATGTAAGCATATATCATGGTTCGAAATGAGCTCCCTATGCCGGTAATGGAATGCCACTGAGTCCCACGCGGTGCACATGCGCCATGGTGCCGGAGCAACCTAAACGGGTGACAAGCTCACGATTCGATCCAGACGCCCATGCACAGTGAGTAAGTAAACCATTCTAACCATTCAAAGAACAAAACGCATCACGCGAGGCCCATCACTGGCATATCTGAGCTGAGGGCCACAAGGCTGCAGGAGCTCTCCATCCTCCAGTGAAAAGTTGCCGCATGGAACGGGGCTTTACTGTGAGGAACGCTGAGGGAGAGTACTGTGTAACATCCCTGCTGGCTCGAAATAATTAACCACCATCTCCTGAAACAAGCAACATTGCATCACCGACCATCATCTTAGAATCCGGTTCAACGCACACCCGCGAGTGAAGCGGACGCAACGGAATACTTGTGTGTGTGTTCTTTCGGAACAGAATACGTTTCAGTCCAAGAAATATCTTTTGGCTGTCAGAATGTCTTGGTTGTGCCCATACAGAATCTCAGTGTATTGAAAGCAAAACCAAGTCCGTGATCATACAAAACTCTTCCCTAATGCAGGAACACAAGAACACCCTGCCTAGTGCTTTGGAACTCTGATGTTCGGGATCCACTATTCGGGGTGCACAGGAGAATCCCGATTTTGCAGAACCTCTCCACGCCTCGATACCGCCACCGCAGATGCGGCACTCGGGCTCTTCCTCCGTCTGCACGGCCTGCTCCGCCTGCGGCTCCGCTTCTGCTGCAGTGCAGTCCACGGCCTGCGCGGCCTGCGCGGCCTGCGTGGCCTCGGCCTGCTCTGAGGAGCCCTCTGCCGACGTCTGTCTGGCAGGCTCAAATGCGCTGTCAGCGCTGGGTTGCCCCGCATGGGACTGTCGCAAGGCCCGGAACTGGGCTGCCATAGAGGAGTACTCGGCTCTCACAGCTCGCGGCACGCCAGGCAGCGTGGATCCTTCGGGCGTGGAAGCAGCCAGCTCTCGGCAACGGGCCTCCAGTTTCTGCGCTTCTTGCATAAGCTTGGCCAAGACCACTTGAGCGAGCGCACGAGGCATGGGGGCCTCGACCTCAGTCTCCACAGCATCTACAGAATGGATACGCTGAAAGCACTGCTCCAGATGGCCCAGCACGGCAACTCTCAGGGTCTCGTGTCTGAGGAAAGCATTGTAGTCCTCAGGATTACTCATGATCATCACCCCAGGCTCATTGAGGGCCGGCTGGTCATTCATGAGAGCCTGCAGCTGCAGTAGGACCACCCTCATGTTGAAGGACGGGTTCCAGCTAGGACCAGGCCACGTGTGAAGGATGGACAGGCAAACCTTCCCGGAAGTGTAGAACTGCGGGTTGAAGCGTACGCTCCCGCCACCAGTGGTCATCAAACGTGCCAGGGGCGCCTCATGCGGATAATTGCTTTTCGCGTACAGCACGAAGTGGAAGAGACCGCCTTCATAAGGCGTGCCCTCGGGGCCTTGCACCAAGGCATGGAGCAAGGTCGCGATGTTCTCATCCGGACATACTACCACCCCTGGCAGCTGGCTGTGAGCGTGACAAGGGGAGGATGGGTAGAGCGGTGACTAAGGGCAAGTACGCTTTGGAAAGTCTCGAGGCTACAGACTTCTGCTGCCATTGGATTAAAAACGTAAATTCTTACCCCCAAACCCTTCACCCATTGCGCCATAGGACCTTAGACTCTAAACCCCACACATTGAATTTTAGAACTGGCATTTCATGTGGTCCCGGGAGCAGGTCATCCTTCTTGAAGACCCTCATTACGTTGCCCCATATTAACTCTGTTTTGGTAGAAACCTACCTGGAAGCGGGTCATCCTTGAAGCCGTGCATCTCTGCAGCCAGCCGGCGGAGGCATGCAGCTGAGGGCTGATGGAGCACCTGCTGGCTGGCCACCTCCAAGCACAAGCATCGTGGAAAAGCACAACGATGCATGGAGGAATGTCTTTAACAAGTAATAGTACTAGTCGTCTTTATACTCCTAGTCATAGTCGCAGTCGTCGTTGCAGTCTGCATCGTATTGCATCGTCACAGCAGCAGCACAGGAGCAGGACAGCAGGAGATGATTTTATTGTGGTCGTGGTTGTCGTCAGTGGTGCTACAGGCAGTAGTAGTATTTCATAGTAGTAGTAGTAGTAGTAGTCGTCGTCGTCGTCGTCGTCGTCGTCGTCGTCGTCGTCGTCGTCGTCGTAGCAGCAGCAGCAGCAATTGCAGCAGTAGCAGTTGTTGTCGCTGCTGCTTCTGCTGCTGCTCTTCTGCTGCTGTGGCTCTTGCTCTTGCTCTTGCTGTTGCTGTTGCGCTTGTTGTCGCTGCTGTTGTTGTTGTTGTTGTTGTTGTTGTTGCGGTTGTTGTTATGGTTGTTGTTGTTGTTGTGGTTGGCGTTGTCTTTGTTGTTGTCGTTGTCGCGGCGGTTGTCGCTGTGGTTGTGGTTGTGGTTGTGGTTGTGGTTGTGGTTGTTGTTGTTGTTGTTGTTGTTGTGGTTGTTGTTGCTGTTGTTGCTGCTGTTGTTGTTGTTGCTGCTGCCGTTGTTATTGTTGTCATTGTCGTTGTCCTTGTCATTGTCGTTGTGGTTGCTGTTGTTGTTGTTGTGATTGTTGTTGTCGTTGATGTTGTTGTTGTTGCTGCTGCTGTTGTTGTTGCAACTGTGACAAGAATTGACATTACAATACATATGTTAGATAGAAAAGAGATATTAAAAAGGGCTGTGCTTCAGAAAAAAATTGACAAAAACATGACTAGTAAGTAGGAGGTCGTAGCAGAAGCAGCCGTCGCAATAGTAAAAGCAGCAGTACATAGTAGCGCGTAGAACCAAATATTCCTGCTCAGAGCCAAAGGTCACAAAGACCAAGCAGAATCCAAGCATCAACTAGCCCAGCTGGGGCCCCCACATCGTCAGCATCAAAAAGCAAAATTAAATACACATTGTCGTAATAATCTCTCTTCACGTAATTCTTGGAACCCTGACGTACACCTCAGGCCTTTAAGGGGTCCCATTCCGCGCCACCGGATGACGTGCTGGGCGTGGCTTCCATGGCTGCCACCACTGCGAAGTAGACCGGAATTCACAGTTTTTGTGGGAGTTCAGAAAGAAGTGGTAGGGAGTACTTGCCGAACGAGGCGAGGGTAATGGAATGTCTCCAGATCAGAAGCCGTTCTTTGGGCGCCAAGGCAATAAGACTCTTGTCAGTTCGGCTTGGAAGTGTGTATGAGGGGGCCCGCGTTTGTGGGACTTGGCCGGTTGGGTCCAGCAGCCTTTGCTTCTGAAGTTGACTCAGCACTAACCTCTTGCTATGAATTCTAACCCGCGTTCCGAGTCGGAATCCTTACAATCCTTCAATTTTCTTTCGCTGTGAGTACTGCAGTTGGATTGGAGCAGGGGTACAGCTATCCATGCTATTCCACCTGAAACTGTCCTTGATGCTTCAGAGAGCACAGCTATCGGGGTAACCATTGATAGCTTTGCACGCCGCTCCCGCAAGCAGGTGCTGTCCTGTGTCCTCCTTAACACGAAATACTTGCTCACCATCAGACATGATTCAGATTCTGGAGACCCAAGTGAGACGTCACACCTGTAATAGCTAAGAGCCTACAGAATGTAGAGTCTCGCACGGGTCTCACGATCCTTGGTGAAGTTACGAACAAGCCGGGACGGAATGCAAAACCAGCACGGGTGCATTCGAGCTACATAATCGCGATCGGTACAGACCTTGCATGGTGGATTGCTTCAAACAGGTGAGCGGAACCCATTGATTATCAGCCAGAGTCTTGGCGGCTTGCGGGTCGACGAAAAGAAAATACCGCTGAGAAAAGAAATTACCCTCATTTATATCTTTCAGGTTGTTAACAGAGAGTTCGAGGCCTTCAAGTACCATAGCTCGTGAAAGTCGAACCAGAAGAAGAGAAGCAAGAAAATAGATTCCCTAGCAGAGGCAAGTCCCTCAAATTCCCTCAAGACATCTCGCCCAGCAATCGCACTCACCAAGGAAATTCGAAAGTTGAGGTTTACGGGAACCCCAAGAAAGGGACTTCTGTTATCAAAGCACGCCGACTACTTCCATCTCTTGCAGCCTGAAACCCCAAAAACATAGTCTGGATCTTAAGGCTCTTGGAAATCAAGCTCCTAGCCGAGGATTGAAAGGCCAAATTTGAAGACTCCTGTAAAATTCTGCAGCTATTATCATTCCACAAGAGACCACAGGTATCGCAATTCCTCCACATTGGGTTACCTTTTTGCTGCCCACCAACATGGCATTGGACCACGAGATGAGCTTAATGGTTTATTCGGACTTTGATGATCAGACCCCGGCCCTGACCACGAGAAAGAAAGAAAGACGCAGCAAATTTCCAGCTTTTCTTGCCTTAGTGAGACTAACTAAAAGATCACTCCAGGGGAGGCTGTAAATGGCAAAGCTCCAGCCAGTGGCTATCTCACGGGAATGTGGACCGACCATCCCATTTGGTTCAGACCATGAAACCGTCTCCGGGGCTCTTTCAGCAGTTCACTGATCAGGAGGGCAGGCGACAGTCCCGTGAGTATTCATGGCTGGGGTGGCGGGAGTATGTCTTAGAAGCACCAAATTCGGAAAGCTCTTAGTTCAGGCGATGTGATTCCTGTGCCCCATCACCCCGCGAGGCCCACGTCTCGAGAGTGTGAGCTGCTTAGCAGCTCGCGGCACGGCTCAAGACTCAATACCCCAGAGGTTGCCAAATCCAGTGCGCAATCTGGTTGCAAAAAACATTCAGAATTCTGGTAACTCAGGCTGATGCAACCACAGTTTAACGTTCAAACTGACATTCAGATGGTTGGAATATTAAGTCCCGTTGCCGTCGCGTCATTAACGTCGTCCACAGCGAACCTTCGGCCATACAGGGCGGGAAACACCAGCAAGAGCTACTCAATGCTCATTGGTTTTCTAGCTTGGCACGCAAAAGCTTCATGGGTCCACTAGTTCATAATCCTGTCAAAGCCCATTTTTCATTTGGTACATTCGAATCCTAAGGAAGGGGGGGAGAATGCTACTCTTGCTTAAGCCGTATACGTCCAGCAAAACACTACTCACTCGAGGACCCGCACAGGCGTTCGGGAAGTTGTTTCTTATAATCCTCAGGCTTCATACGTCCTTCTAGAAAAGGAGCATCCTGGGCCACACACTTTAGCTAGACCTGCAGGAGCTCTTGCTGTCACATCTCAACATTGAAAGCACCGAATCGAGAATCATGATCTTGGATTCCCCGGTCCTCATGCACTTAATCCCAAGCCTGACTCCCTGGATGCTTAGTCTAAGCCTCAGGACTTTAATCCTGCTCTCAACAAGAATCTTCCTCCCCAGCAGAAAAACAAGGTAGTCTGCCAACGACACTGGTAGCGAACCCGCTTAACCCTAGAAGCACAAGTCATACCAACCCCAGGACCTGCACCGCGTGCTGCCGAAACTTGTGCCGCTGGCGAGGGAAGATCTTGTCAGGTCTCCTCGTAAGAATGCAAGCAGTACTCAGAACATCGGTGCGAAGACAACGCAACCAGCAGTTCTTGGAGTGCTTGCAAGAACGGGTGGCCTGTTGTCCTGGACCCCAACAGAAACAAAGGAGTAGGTCATAGGAAATACGGATTTCTCTACTCACTAGATTAGTTGGGGAATAGCCTTGTCGTGAATAAGGTAACGGAATTGTGAACATGTGTGGAAGCTTACTCGCAAAGTACTGAGTCTGGGATTACATAAAAGTTCGGGAGCATTGGGAAAGGATGTACATGAATGGCCCACGCGGCAGGACAAACCGTTTCTACACAGTTACAGGCGCGAGGGGCGCCCTGCATTTTTTCAGGTGCTTAAACCTTTTGAAGACTTTCTCAGGTGTTGTTCGGGCAGGGGGGATAAGAACGTCATTCATATTGCATCCATGCCCAGAACAATGGTATTTACAGTGCTTTCGCCTCTTTGTACACACACTGCGCAAAGGATGCGGAACAAGACACGTTGTTACAGGCGTCCATGCCTTGGGCGGCCATGCCCAAAAAAAACTGGTATTTACAGTTGTTTTTGCGTCTTTGTACAACATACTGCGCAAGGATGTCACAAGCGTCCATGCCTTTGGCGCCAATGCCCAAAACACTGGTATTTACAGCGTTGCTGTTTCTCTACGGGTTGCGGGTTGCGGACTCCGGGTTAACACGCTCAATCTCAGAGACCGAAACACAATGTAACAATGAGTGAACTCTTCTTCTTAATGCAATCGTTTCCTGGATATCCAACTACCATGCTTTTCCTCCTAGGTTTTGTGCCACTTTTAGATATAGAAAGCAACCGGGCACCCTATGCGCCCGTACCCTTCTACACACGCCGATCTGTTCGAGCAACCCATGTACACTGGCAAACACCGTTGTAGCCATCCTGACTCGTGCTGCAGGGGTTGGGATCCGGAGAGATGCCGAAATGAAGCCCCCAGACATATCCAAGGCGGCAAGTGCTAAAGTTTGGCAGCCCGAAGTGCATACAGATGCCAATTACAGCTGAATGATACAAGCAAGGGAAGGGATTCACGGCAGTAGTCATGAAGAGCTTGTATACATCTCAGCCAGCATTCCGCTGGTGGTTGACAACCCCTCAACCCTCCCAGAATCACGTCCAAAAGTGGATCACTTCTGCCTCGCCTCTGCCACTTTCTCGGCGATTTCCACAGCACCCGCCGCGCACCACCAGGAGCCTGCCAAATTTCAGTTTAGAGGGTTGGGTTCAGAGTGGGGGCTGGAGTTTAAATAAAGCTTTAGGTTGAGAGCTCAGGGTGTTTGTTCCGGGACCATATACATGTCCGGATATGTTGGGGCTGTAAGAACCTTTCCAGGCTTCGGGGTGTGCTGTAGAAGTGTGAGAAGTCGCAGCTTTGGGCAGGTGTAGCAAGACATTTGCAACAAGCCACGGAACTTGAAGGCCGAAGGAATCCAAAACAGCAAAGGATTGTGATTGGGGCTGCGGCATTGGTCTACATGATGCAGCCGATTTCGGGGCGGGGTGGGTGCTATAATAGGACTACATCAGGAATGTCAAGCTGATCGGTTGGTGATGCCTGCTGAGGGTATTCTGCTCGCTCGGCTAACTCTGACCCAAAAGGCTTCATAAACCCCAGAACACTTCCGACTGCTTTTCTCGTGTCTGTAGGCCCATAGCTCGAAACCTGATCGCCTGCTACCTCGTAATTTCCATATGAGTAGGGGAGATGAGCCGCGAACACTGTTGTCTGTTAGAACTCTGGAAGCCCAAGTCTCCAAACCCAACAGCACGCGGCCCCGCCTAAGCTGTTCAGGAGGCTGTCCAGCATGCCGCGCCCTACCAGCGATGCACTTCGCTCCACGGCTGCCTGGGTTATCCAGGTTCGGAAGCCATGATTCAGGGTCTAGGGTTGGGGGTAACCAAAGGGACAAGGATTGGAGGTTGATGTTGGGGATCTGTACCGGAATGCGTGCATTCAAAAGTAATTTGAAGTGGCATTTTTCACACCTTGCAACAGCTGTCCTGCAAGGTGTAAGACGTTGGGATGTATGGGGTAGCGCTTCCGGCTTTCCAAGGCCGCCCCGGCAACTGGGGAGTTGAAGTGTGACAGCAACAGCTGTGGTAAGACCCGCCTTCAGGCCCTAAATGCTTCAAGATGTGCCTAGCATCCTCAGTAAGCCTTAGTAGACAAAAGGGTTTCAAGTGGAATCAGGTTATTCGGATCTGCAACACATATTCATGCAGCCTCCCGGGTTGCAGGGTGTAAAAGGGGAACATGCAGGGTCTAAGGTTGAATGCTTGGGGTTTGCTTTTTAGGGTTGGGTTTGGGGCTCGGCTTCCGTGCTTCGGGCTTAGAAATAGGCGAGAAGGGTGGACGACATGTGTTGGTTTCTCTTGTGGTCTTTCTTGTGATGCTGCAATTCCAGCAAGCAAGAAGACTCGAAGGGCTTCTTCATGCCAAATGGTAAGCACCACGAGGTACGCGTGTCCTCCCGCGCTTCTGCCCTCGCCCTCACGCCATGCACACGAGCCTGTGACTGCGTCACCGGACAGGCGCATTGCTGTGATGCGCTCCTTTTGACCGACATGCCCTTTAAGCCCAAAGTATTTAGACAAGATGTATGAAAGCTTCGCCAGACTATCAATCATTCAATCCCAGGACCAGCCACGATGCTCAAACGATGCTCGCAGGGATGCCTCATGTGGAGTTTCCCATTAGCTCGCCACGTTCCAGGACCCGCCACGATGCTCCTGGGCACACCTCTTTTGGAGTTCTCCGTATCTTCCCGCACGCCCGGACCCGATTTGGATTTCAGGTAATACAACTGTTTGAGCTGGGTCAGGGTTCACGGTTGAAGAGCAGTCGTTTTGCGCGCACTTGCTTGATGCTAACTTTGGGGTGCGCTTGACGGACAGACACACGCAGAGGGGTCTGAGTACGGTCCATGACTCTGAAATGGCGCGAACTACATATTCCAAATGCTTGCACTTACGTTCTGCAGCGTGGCCCAAACTCGGACATTATGCAAATTAAAGGCATCTGGGCTGCAAGGTTCACGAGAGATCTGAATAACACGGGACAGTATGGTCTAAGCACCTAGAATGAAGACTTCGGCTCATGATATGAATTTGGTTCAGACTGCCAGTATGATGTCCTACAATTGCGGGGATGAAGGCCTGGAGAGTCCGGCCACACCATACCTTTGAGAAAAAACATGTCTTGGAAAGCCTTGACCCCAAAAGTGTTGTATTCCAAAGCCCTAGAAATATAGAATCTGCAGGAGCGCCAAGCCTTTCCTGCTTTTGGGCCCATGCACCTCCGTCAGGCCCAGCTTAAGCCTGCTCCACATGCGCAGCGCCTGCCGGTGTAGGATACGGAACAAACCCTTAATTAGAGGATAATGTTGTCTATCTTGGAAGTATCTTGAAGATGCCGTCGACTTGGGACAGGTTTAAGTGCTCTTTTGGGCTTAGGGCTCGCTTAGGGTTTGCGGCCCTGAAGGGCTGGGTTTTGCACTGAATTGGAGCTGCACGGGCTTGGGTTCTAGAAGCCTAGGCATCCAGGGCTTCTGAACCAAAGGTCTGGGGTCTAAGAATCTAAGAGGAGTTTGGTGAGATATGATATCTAGCAATCCACATCCACTGTCCGTGGCCTTACATGGGGAAGGTCTCGCGATTTCACCGGACAGCTGAGCGCTTTCAACTGTGCTGGGTGCCAGGCTACTCTTTCACATTACGCCTTCCCCGATGGGTCTAACATCTGGCCCCCGAGAGAACATGTGCAACTGCGTGAGGAGGAAGGGTGTCATCCGCACAACTCCCTTAAAGATGCAAGACATGGCAAGAGCCTCAGGACTTGCTTCAGGGTCACCCGAAGAGAAAGCTTCCTGAAATGCCACGAGGCCTGAGAAGAGCAATTCTGAACACAAACTACAGGTCGATAGAAACCCATGTGCAGCCGACAAACCTTGTGAAAACTCTTCCTGCAGCCAGATCTTTTGACAGTTGGTCTTGCCAAGGTTTACTATGCAATTTCCACACGTCAGAGGCTCCAAGTGCCACCGCCAGAAAAATGCAAAGTCAAGCTGCCCAAAAAGGAACCTCGTATTGGCGAACTCCGGCTTTGCGACTGCGTAGACCCTGCTTGTTAATCCTCACTCACGCCCCTCGAAACCCTTATCATGATCCGATGAAACCCTGCTAAGACCCCCCCTGAAAACATCAGCCCTCACAAGGTACTGAATAGGATCTGTACACGCGCGTTCTCTCAAAGAACGTTTCACATGTACTTTCCGATACTCATAAGCACCCGAAATTAGACTCGTCAAAACCAACAGAAACCTGCATACACGAAACCTTACACAAGCCGCTTTGACTGTAAGAGTGCATGTTTCAAAGACAAGTTGCCTGAACCTTCGCCTTCTCAGATGTCTCAGGGACAAGAAGCAGCCTTACGAAGGCCGGAGTTGGTTTCAAGGTCCAGTTTTGAAGGTTTAGGGCGCGTGGTTTACAGTTTATATGGCTTTAGGGTACAGGGGCTAGGCGGGTGAAGAGGAGGGGCACCCGGCCGCCTAGATTTTACAACTCCCTAACTGAGGACCACCCAAATACCAAGCAACGTTCTCCGCTGTTTCTCTGCATGGCACTTGGAAGTGCGAAACGCAAGGATGCTCTGAATGCTTGGAGCACACATGGAGAAACTTTGTGGGAAACTGTCAGAAAATGTGAGGTCCTACCAGTCAACTCCCCAAGAAATGCCCACACAGACACATATTCCTGGGTACACTAAAACTCCAGAACAAATCCCGTGATCTTGACTCGCTCCTCGTGTTGTTTACCCGAAGCCAGCAACACGATACAAACCATGGACCTCAAGCCCCCTTCCTTGAACTTTAGACTCAGCCCTAAATCCCCTACACCCTAACGCCCTCCCACTAATCCACCCGCTGACACACTAAAACTTGACCTATTCACCCTCAACCCTAACCTAACGTCTGCAAGCCGAGCAGCCATCGGCCTCCCGAGGGCTCTTCGAGCACCTCACGGTACTCCTGCAGATGGCCCGAGCTGTTGGGGACCCAAGAGTATCTCCCGTTGAGGTTGTAGGAATTGCCGTTCAGGATTTGGGGATTGTTTCTGTTTGGTGGCAAGCTCAACATTATTTTCAGCTATCTGGGCAGGATCTAGGGTGTCAGGCTTTGGTCAGAACTGAACATTGTTTCCAGGCTTGGGGTTTGGGGTCAGGGCAGTTTAGGGTTGAGGGAGAAATTTGAAGGCTGCGCCTAGAGAGTGACAAGGTTTTGGAGCTTGCAGATTTAGGGCAAACTTTGGCGGCGGAGTTTGGGGTTTTGGGATAAGCTAGGTGGGCTCGCGGGTCTGCAGTCTAGTTGAGGGAATGCAGTGCTTTGGGCGTAGAATGCAGGGGCGCAGGGTTGTGGGGATCGTTGCTTTGGGGGGCGCCATAAGCCATGGACAGCTTACTGTTTGCTCAGAATAATATATGTTGTCTGATGTCAGTCCTGAGCCCTGAACTCTGAACCGTAAACCGCAGAAAAACAAAGTCGCAAACCCCAAATCCCTTGAACCCTAGGGCCATACACCTTAAGTCTCTAAAACCTAAGCCATAAGCTATAGATTTCAAAGCCCTAAAACCCTGAATCCCTCACCTTAGCCTAGACAACATATCGTTCTACCCTGGAAATGCGGGACAGCAACCAAAAAATGACATTCAGAGTACGGTTCATCAATCCTCAACCCTAAACTCCAGAGACCCCACCCCCTTTAACCTTATACAAAGCATCCTTAAGACTCTCTAGACCCAAATCCTAGACAGCTCTCTTCTAGGGAAGGCCTCGTAGGTACCCCAAAATACTCCGCCCGCAGCCGCACCGAGCCTGGGCTTGGGCAAGGCGGGTCAAACGTGGGGTTTCCTCAGCACACCCAAAACGAAAGGTGGCAGGCTCAACAAGGCTCTGTATGGCTTCCTGCAGGAATACCATCTGTCTTCCTAATGACATAGCCAACATGCACCATGACTCCGCCCCAAATCAGTTTTTACAAGTACGGCACTGGGGCTCCTGTCAAAGGCTCCTGCAAAATCCCTCACGGGTCTCCTCTAGCTTTGCCTGGAAAGCTTTACAGTTTACAGCGCACTACCGAGACGGAGCCACGTTGGAGCCTCCGGGCGTATGTCTTCGTTTTGAAGGAGTTGCAGTCGCAGGATTTCAAAGCTGATGTTTCCAAGTGAAGTGAGGGGTTCGAGCCTGTGTGGAGGAGGCTTGACAGCTCCGCGCAAAGCAGCTTCCGGCAAGCGGGATGCAATTGGCTTGTCCTGATTTCTTGCTGCACCGAGTTGGTGTAGGTAGGGCAACTACGTACGTGTCGCAACGCATCAGGGTCCTTGCCAAGAACGAATGGTGTGGGTATCTTGGCTTTGCAGAGAACTGTCCAAGCGGTGCTGGAAAACTTTCGAAGCAGCGCGCACCCTGAAGTTTTGAGCAAGCAAGCTACACCCAAACACTCCTGGCAGGATAACGTCGAATTCTATCTACATCCAGGTAGCACAACACCACCAGCCTTTGTCACGATGGCCAGGCCTCCAGGTGAGAAGGGGATGGAGGTCCGGGTCTTAGGGTTTCGGTGATGCTTCTCAGTTTTGATGCTCTTTACGGGAACCTGCAAGCAAATAGGGCATCCAAACAGGTTTGCTTGCTTTTCAAGAGATCATCATCCGGGAAACAGCTCTGAACATGCAATTTGAAAATAGGCCTTACATTCACCTACATGGGGCTTATATGGTTTCCCCAGACTAGATCCAGCCCGTGCCATACCCCCCAAGTACTCAACGGGGGCCAACACGGAACTCATGAACGCGGGACACCCGCAGTTGGATGTGCACGCATATGATCATGCATGGGAAACTATTCTGTTTCGGTGGGTTTTCAGGCTTCGCGCTCCTGTTTACACCCAATTCTTTGGTTCTGGCTCCACTCCAAGAACCCACTGCGAGGATGCATGTCCAAATGCAAGCCTGAACAGAAGGTGGATTCCAACCAAATCCCTGCCCCAGCGTGTTAGGAGTCATTGTGTTGCCATCCTCCGCAAGCCAACCCTGCGGCTTCGGCAGCCCCAGACCGCACTTTGATCCTACTTTGACTGAATCTAGTGCAACCACAGAAGTTGAAGAACCTACCTGCAAATGGCTGCATGCAGATTGCTCTAACCTTTTAACGGGATACAGAATTCTGCCACCAACCTTGGAACGTAATGTGGTCCTCAATTGAAGAGCCCATAACTGTGACGAAGCCCCGCGTAAACCCAGGTCCCTCACAGTAAGCCCTGCGGGAGCCTGCTGGGAGCTGCCAAAGAACCCCTGCAGATGCTCCCAGTAGCATGGCCTCCAGTAGGTGTCCCTTTCTGAGGCTTTGGGTTTAGGATGGTTTAGGGTTTAGGTAGGGGCTTACGGCAGCAGCATTCAGGCCCAGGACCTAGGGTTTTGGGTTTGGCGGTCTAGATCCCAGCTTGGGTAGTGGGCTCTACTTAAGGTGCAGACAGATCACCTGAAAACTTTGGAAGAAGATCGCTTAGACGAGAGTCCAGAAGGCTAAAGCTGCAAGCCTTTTGATAAAATCACCTGTTGTGAAAAACTGCCGCATAGCTTGCAGACCTTCGTCAAATTGTGAAAGCCGACGATGAATCGTAGGGACCACGAAGAAGCCTGACCTCCCTGAAAAAAAGCCCTCAAAGCAGATTGTCACAATTTAGTTGATTGTCAGATAACAGGCCAAGGGTTCAAGTCTAACCTCATCAGGAGCTCATCCGTTGACCACGGCACACGATAGCACTCAATGTTGTCCTAGATTTCTACCTTAGATATCGAACCATTTGGATGTATGCTATACCTGCTAGCAGGCACATGCTGCGATCCTAATCGCCCTTCGGCTTGCCGACTGTTCGTGGTGGCCTGTCTGCATTGCAACCATGAACCACAGCTGAGCCATTCCAGGAACGCTGCCTCTGAGTAGTAACTGCACCTTTTCTGCGGGTGTCACTGTCGCGATCACGGCCGATGCGGATATCGAATTCTGGTCCGCTCGATGAACAGCAAAACCTACTCAAGAGCGGCAAGCAAGCAACGCGCATTTTCTGCTTCCTTGCCCATTTCCATGGGGTTCCTGAAATCACCAAGTTCAAGGAGCCCTTAGCGGAATTCGCATATGTTTGCTGCAGTGCCTCCGCTAGTATGGCCAATATTTCTACTGCTCCCCATTCGCGCTTTTGCGGTGAGTAACATCATTGACACCAGTTCCCCTTCGTGTCCTCCTACTACTGCTGCTGCGATTTCTTCTTCGACGACGACTACGACTACGACTACTACTACGACTACTACTACTACTACTACTACTACCATTGCTACTCCTCCTCCTGCTGCTGGCGGCACTACCTCCTCCTCCTCTTTCTGCTGGTTTTGCTGCTGGTTCTTCTGCTGCTGCAATACGGACCTGGCAGCATGTATTATCCGCCGAGTTCCACAAACTGAATTTCTTCGGCTAAAGGAACCTTTGTAGCGACGCCAACTCCCACAAACAATAAAGTTTAGTTCCTGATCCCAACGCATGGGATCCAATCTCTATGCCCCACAAAACAGAACTCCGGCTTTAGGGACCCCGGCACAGAGTATAACTCTCATGTTACCCATGTCTCGTCTTTGCGCGTAGCAGTCGCTAGCCGCAAGACCCATACCCTCATGTTGCTCGACATACGCAAAGTGCTCGTTTGAGGGCTCGCTACAAGACATCAACAAAACTACCTGCAAACTGGTCTACAAATGTCTGCTATCTGCCCCGTCTACCTTTCATTTCTTTAAGCTTCCCACATGAATTGCAAACAGAGCACCGTTGACGTAGTATCTTGTCTGGACTGTCGAACAACGAGGGCAGCGATATCTTGAAACAACCCTGATCTGACTGATCTACTGGAAAGTTGAAAGAATTAAGCAGTCGCACCTTCGTGCGAAGAAAACTGTGGAAAGCTTTGCAGCTCTGCTAGAGGAAATAGATGTGCCACAAAGCGGCAGGCGGCACACAATGGCAGCCGGAAAAGATGTCGTAGCCGCTCGGCCAGCAAGCTTACGAGGTAAGCTCAAGAGATTGGAGCTTCAGAAATGCAGGGACTCTCAGTTGAAGGTCAAAGTCTCAGCTAAAGCCCAAATGCCCAACCCCGACTATGAGACCGATGTCGTATGGATTCCACGGCATCGGAAACTCCAAGATGATCCCTGGCTCATGAACCTGTGCTCCTCTATCCCCGCATGATGATAATGCCTGGTCTCACGGTTGGTGCACAGGAGACACTTCTCAAAATTATGAACTCTTCTTGGGGTGGTCCCCGCAATCAAGACCCCCTGTGCTACAGGACCGTGAGGAATGCCAGGATCATGGATATGATTGAGCAACATAGGTGAAAGAACCCTGCTCTCATCACCCAATCTTAACTACGTATCAGGCGAGGATCAAGGGTTTACGAGTCAAGGAGTCTAGATTGTGCTCGGCATCTCAATCGCCGCCCTCCTTCACGATCTTGCCAATGCAAAAATCGATCTTCAACCACTCCGTTCCCGACAGCCTGAAGTGATGTGGAGTTACCTATTCTGACTATAAACAGCGTGAATCGGGAATCCTGTCAGGGTTTTTGGACTGTGGGTTCCGATCGATTTCCAATGTGCGGAAAGAGCAAGGACCTGCTGCATGATAAATCTTGATTGTAAAGAAGGGTCGCGCATGCCTCCTTGTATTGTCAGTCACGCTTTCTGTGTAATAGATCAGCTCCTGCCGTAGCACTGAATGCCTTCATTGTTGGGCCCTCCATCCTTACCCATTCTGGGAACATAGAATTGCAAGAAAATCCCGACATATGGCAAAGTGGCACCAAATTCGCACGTAATTGACGATAGGCAAATCTTGACTCATCGGTGTAAAGGACGCACTGGGACATATCAGTGCTCAATCTTTTTTGCACATACTTGTTTATAGATCTACAGTATGCACGCGCCGTCTGCAAATTGAGCTTGCGACACCTCAGCGATCACCTCAAACCCAATCCCCAGACTCCCTCTGCCACCCTCAGGACTGCCGCCATATAGAATCCCCAACCAATCCCGGCCCCAAACCGGAAATTACTAAAATCCTGGAGCTCAGAACAAGGTTGTTCGATCTCCTGCCGCCCTTCAGATGAACTCTTTACCACTGCTGGTGCCTGTCCGAAAGCATCCCCCAGATTCCTGCAAATAAAGCTCCTTATGTGCAATTCGTTGAAACCTGATCTCGAATGAGCCCGAAAGCATGTTTACTCCTGAAGTCATTGATAGGGTAGAGGGATTTGTACATACTTTCTCTCCACTGCTGGCTCGGTAAGGCAGGGAACAGCTCGAGCAGCAGCAGGGATGGGATCTGGATCAGGTACATTGCCAGGAAAGGCATAGGATCGTCCCCGCTCAACAGGGCATCTCCGCCCCGAAGCCTAAGGTTTGCGCTGATAGGAAGGATTTATGCTAATAGGGTGCAGGGCGAGGGGTTTACGTACCGCCTAGGAGGAATCAACAGCGCGACAACGCTCTGAGGCTGCTGGGGGATTGGGCTGAAAGCTTAAACTCGTGAGACCTACAGGAGCTTCACAGTTCAGGTGGCTTTGTATGTACTGGGGTGTCAAGAAGAATATACTTTAGAGCCGTCGAGTATGGTCAGCATCACCAGCTGCTGCTTGATTAAAGTTCAGAGCGCTGGTCAATGCAGTTGCAGAGGCCGTCATCTCCTCTCAACATGCTGGGAACATTGCGCCCCAAGACACAGCCCAACGTATCTGAAGCCCCCAACCACCTACAAAGCCCTTCATCAGCAGTTGTCAAACTAGTCAGCTTTACCCAAGTGCTGAAAACCCTTACAAGACGTGATTCCGAAAGCTTCCTGAAGGAGTTCAGCGGCTCCCTCTCACAAGAAGAACCCAGGGACGTCGGACCATAATAGCTCTGAACCCCAGAATGCCACCCAAAGCCTGAAGCCCTTGAGCCTTCAAGCTCCAACAGACGAAAACCATCCAGAACCCATAAGGCCCCTAAGCCCTGCATTCGACGACTAGGGGGCATCTGCGGCACGCTTAGCTTGAAGCAGTTCTTGGGCTTCCAAAAGCCTGCCATGAGGAAGATCTGGTCCATGATCTGCCAGGGTCACAGGGCTGGAGGCTTGGCGTCCATAATCTGCGTGTGGCCGGAGTGGCCGGAGTGGCCATGGGGTGCGGTAGGGGCTTCCGGGTACAGAGTTTGTGGCGATTCCGATATGTATGGCTACGGATGCAAGCCTGAAGGTTGTAGCGAATATAATCTGGGAGACAGGCCATCTAGCTGAAAATGCATGGAATGGGATTGATTAGCCCACGCAGACACTTATGTGCCAAGGTGGAAAGCCAAGCCTACAGCCCAAGCCGGTTTAGGCTTGGGCCTTCGAGGGCGCAATATTTTGGGGTCACGTTCTCAGGGGTCTATGGTGGAGGGATTATGACGGGGCACTGAACGACTTCAAACCACCATCCCGACCCTATGACAGGAGCCACGGGTTAAGCACCGCAACTTCTGCTCTGTGATAGAAGAAAAGTAGCCCCCCTACAACCGTTTCACAGTCCCATATACAACGCCCTATACAAGGAGTTTAGACTCTAGCCCATATAATCCCCTTCCCAAAGCCCAGGCGCCCAGAATCGGAAAGTGTCAGGCTTCGACTTAACAATCTCCGCGTCGTTCATTGGAACGAAGTCTGGATCTGCAAAGGCAGACGCCAAGTTCCTCCAAATAGGACCCCAATGTAGACCGCAATACATTATCATCCTGATTATTGGGACCCCCCGAATAAACAGCGCACACAGAACTTCTTAATTAATTCGAAAAGTCTGTCTTTCGGCCGCTTTCAACATCCCACCATAGCAATTCAAGTAATTTCTCCAAAGCAAGTTGAGACTCCCGTTATAATTTGGAAGATCTTGATTGAGAGCCCCTGGGCTTTCCAGGAGTTTACTGCCTGGAATTTGGGATTGAGTTTAGGGCCGAAAGGGATTGCAGCTATGTAAGCCTATTGCCTAAAAAAAGGTAAGGATTAGGGTGCCCATGCAGCAATCGAACCAGCCCATGCCCCAGAGCTCTAGTCACTAGTCTAGTCGATGATGGTCATGATAAGGGGATTTTGGGGCTCGCTTTCATTGGAACCCCTTAGGCCCGCTGAGTACAGTCCTGTGCCCCTCGAGCGTGCACACGGCGCTGTGGATTCGAGGATTGCACTCAATTGGCACTAGCTTGCCATCAGAGGTATGCATCCTGGGCGTCTGTGGGTGGGGTTCTGATGGGTGGTGACTGTTTGCGAACTTGGGAAACTTTTGTGCTAATCCATCATCCTCAACCAATCAGGCCGTGAATGCTTCTGGTTTCAGGTCTGACGGTGTCTTGGAGAACCTGGTGGCAGGGATTCCAAGGCTGCAGCGTCATTCAATGGGTGCGACACCTGTCGTAGTATTTAATTCCACTTTGCACAGGATTGACTCATCAAAAGCTAGCTTCCCATGCCCCTCCTCACCGGAGGCCCCTGGAGGCCCAGCCAACAAGGTGACCATGGTGACCGGTGAACGAAGGGCCATGTGGTAATCTCTACTGATGCAGTGTCCGAAGCAGGAAACACAGTTGACACAATGACGCATACATTCATTGTATCCCTCAGTCATTGTATCCCTCAGGCAGACCAACGACGCAAGCCTTCAGACGCAGGAGGTCCAGTTGTGTAGCCATGCAGTACACGCAAGTAATCCCTTCCCGCCATTCCCTCCACCTACATGTACATATAGCCCATGACTGTTACAAGTACTAAAGCCAATGAGAAGCAATGTTCATGCGAGGGCAGGGGTTGGTGCATGTCAATGAAGGTTTATGCTGGCCTGGGGCCTCGCTCCTGCTGAATCTTACTTGCAGAGTTCGAAACCCTATACCCTACACCTGAAGCGCTAAACCCAAAACCGCTGCAGTTTGAGGCAACCAAGAATCAAATCCAGAGTGAGTTGCCCAGTGAGGTTCATGCTCTTCCCCAAGCCTTGGCAAAGCTTCATGACCTCCTCGTACCTCTGCAGGGCTTGGAGTATCTTGTTAAAGGATCAGGGTTTAGGGTTGAGGGCGGAATGATCAGGACATTGCCCCCAATCAAGAACGAACTCAAAACCGTCCAGATCAAGACAGACAAGGCGGGTCTCTTACATTCCAAGACAGTCCGGTCCTTCTTTTTGAACAGCTTTGAGAAACCCTACCATGACAGACTCAAAGCCCAAGCCAAAATGTTCCAAAAGAGGACCCTAAACACTCAACCCTCAACCCCAGAAACCCCAAAGCCTGAACCCTAGAAGCAGTGAACGCCCGGGCACTGCTTCTGGAGCTGGCTGTACACGAGGCATGAGGCTGCCGACTCAAAGAGCTCAAAGCCCGTGAGGTGGCCCTTCCAATAATGTTGGGGTTATATTGGGGTTATATTGGGATAATGGGAAATAAAATACATGGAAACTACTATTTAGAATTCGGGGTTTGGGGTCTAGGGCTATGGACATTTCCAGGAGTGGAGTCCCCCTTTTCATACACCCAAACATCCTCCGACCCTTGCTATGGGGACTCCACAAAAAGGGGGATGGTCTAGGGCTTTAGGCTCCGAATCTGGTGTTTCAGGTGTAGGGTTGATGTTCGAGTCTATGGGGCCCTTGAGAGGAACGAGGTGCTGTTCGAGAGTGTAGAAGAGTTCTTGTGAGGGGAAGAATCAGAGCAGGATCTTTTTGAAGATAAGGAAATCAAACATGAGTTTCCCGCCTTTAGAAGAAGCAGTTAGGGCCCAGGCCTTCTTGAACTAGGTGGGAATTTGTAAGATGCGAAGGAACATCAGGGCGGAACGTCGCGACTTTGGATGTCTGCCAGGTTATTGTAGAACCACTGCTTCTGCAAGGTAGTAAAATTCGACAACGATTTTTGTGGGATGTCACGGGCCTAAAACAATGAACCCTGAAACCCCAACCCCAAACCTGCCGCAGCCTTGTTGTAGAAGGCGTAGCATCCATACTCAGGCTCCTGCAGCACCTGATTAGGGTTGAGGGCTACAGGCTGCGGATCCAAATGCGACGCGAAGAGAAGTTAGGAATTTTGCTCTTCGAGGTTTCTGGTTTAGGGACTTCAGGGGGCTTTGGTGAGATGAGTTTAGGCGTCCGAGACTAGAGACATGGCGGCAAGGCTTGCCAAACCAGGCGTGGTAACTTCCACCACTTGGGGTAAAATCTGAGGTTTAGGACAACACAAGCCCCGAGGCACCTCGAGATTTGAGGGTGTTTGCCCCAAAAGGCGGTCTTGATGTTCCAAACCCTGACCAACCCTTGAGAGGAGCTCTCACCTCCTGTATGACGTAGGGAACTTCCTTGGTTGCGTTCCTGGAGTTGAGGTACTGCAGCTGCCTCTCCTTAGCAGTGGTCCATTTGGGTTCGGAAGATCATGCCTCATTACAGGTCAGGCTTTATCCACGGTTTCAGCTTCTAATTAGAGTACAGGATGCATATTCTTACGCAGATTTCGGATATGAGGCTTGGTGCAACTTCACAGCAGCTTTCAGGAGTGTACCTTTGAGTTGTTTGGGTGAGCTTGAAAAAACAAGGTCCTTACGGTTCATATAGAACCGACACAGTTTATTGCAATAACCAGATGGTGGTAAACGACAAGAGTGAAACAACGCGAACGCAGCAATTTTAACGTGAGACTGCCTCGGCAAAGGCTGCTAAGGCGAGAGAGAACGAGTTTCGTGACCTGCACCGCAGCTCTCGATCCCCTCACTTACCAAGTCACATTCCTCATTCGAGCACCTCATCGCCCTAAAGAAGCCGACTAGCCCCCCTGAATCGGAGGAAGGCGGTGAACGGGGTTCCGTCAGCAACGCATTTCATTCTACAAGCAGTTTGTACGCTAATCAAGCTCGACTTGAAACCTGAAATCCCCCAGCCCACTCGCAAACCAAAACAACCGACAGCCGAATGCTAAGATCCGTGACCTTAAACTCTGTGACTATGCGCGGCAAATGAAGCACCAAGATCTGGACCCTTCATTGCCCTCTAACGCCCGCTAACGCCCGAGAAACAAAACCACGTTTCAGCTTCACATGACCTGGCTCATTCAGCCATTTGTGTTGACACGTCCCGTGACGCAACCCCTACCCTGAAACCAAGGCCGTTTGCATCTGGAATGCGACTCTTGCAGATCTCAACACGAGAGTCCAAGAAACTTACCATGCTCGACAACCGGCAACCCCACACGCCTCCATGACAATCTACAAAACCCCATGATATCCAAGCACAGCATGTAAGCCATGAATAAACTCTGAGCGTCCTTATCCTCGATAGGCAAGAACAGGATCTCCGTCCGCGCCTCCATCAGGGATTCGGAGGGTTTCTACGAATGGATAGAGCTTCGGCAGCTTCCTGGATTACGTGGGAGTTATCTGAGACGTCTTGCTCCCAAGTTATGGTCTATGGCAAAGGTGCTTAGAAAAATACAGAACTAGTTATGGATCACATCCTTACCCTCCTGTCCTCTTCCGGGTTCTTAGCTGTATGCAGATATTCGACAGATTCTTCTGAATTCTTGAACTGCCCAGCTCCAAAATGGATCAGAAACCAAGAGCCTCACCATCATTGTAGCCTATGAGATTGCGCTGATCAAGAACTGTCTGCATGATATTACTCATAGAAGCCCTAGAAAACGCGATTGCGTTGGCATTATATAGGCAATGAAAGAGTTGCTGCGTCAAAAGGTGTTAGAGTCCCTTGATCGACTTGAGGATGTGGTGGGCCACAGATTCAGGGTGGATGCTTTTAAGTTAGGGTCAGGGTTTAGGATTGGAGGCTGATGACACACGGAATATGATGGAAAGCTTAGGCGCAGGAAAAATCCCCACAAGAATCCGCATCAAGAGGTTCTGGTATAGTGTAGGACATCTCGGCAAAGCAACGATAAAGTGTGCAATTATAAAAATCATGGCGACCTTTTGCGAACTGCACACGCTTCTACGTTTACTCTGCGTAGGGCACCCTACCTTGTGGAGCATAACAGGGGCTCTGTTCTTTGGCCGCAGGCCTTGGGGTCATAGACCGCAGGCTTCACGATGAACTTCTTGCCCCTGTGCTTGGACTCCTTCATAGAGAGGAAGGCAACACAGGGCTGGGGGGGTCCGGAGAATGGGCTGTATGAGAGATTCTGCCAAAAATGGCCACGTAAAGAAGTAGGCCTACCTCTACAAGGAAAATGAGCAAAGAATTGCGGCAACCATTCAAGCTTCTCATGCAGGTCTGTGCTTTTAAGATCTAGCTTACCTGATCCATGAATTTGATCGCCGCCATAGCTACGTACTATGTACTTCCAGGAGGACCGTTTTCTGGATTGCTTGTTGCTCCGCTATTTGTCCATCGTTCTGAGTTCTCGCTGCCATAGTCATGACATTGGCTACGGCTGTTTGGGTAATTCTTGTTCATGTGCACATCAACAAAACAGAAACAAAACTCGTGTATGCGACCGGTCGACCAGCATAACATAGCTGCTCGATCCCGCGGCAAACTAGTCTCTCTGGTAACGCAAATATGTGGACTGATATCTCGCCCCAAACGGGGAAGTTTGGACCGGCTTCTGAACCTGGAAGCTTCTGAAAACTTCAGATCTCTTTCTAGCGGTGCCTCCCTCTTCAACTCTCTTCAAACATTGAAATTGGAGTAGGCAATGGGAAGCCGGCATCGAGAAACAGCTCGTTGTTCCGGGGCCTTCCCCTCCGCAGTTTCTTCGTTCAAGTCCTTCTCGGATGGTCGGTTGTCCTGACCGTAGGTAGGTCATTGTACGTGCTGGAAGGTCAATATCTGGGTGGCATTGGGATATCGCCAGCTTTCGAGAATGTTTCAACAGGGCTGAAAATTCATTCTTGAGGGGGGAGGGGTTGAAGGCTGGCTGCGAACAAACAAAACACACAAAGACTGATGAACCACTGAAGCTGGTCCCTCAACCCAAAAGTCCATGGCTTCATTGCCTTAAGTTTTGGATGCTTCTCTGGAGGCCACGCGCTGGCAGACAGCAAGAGCAGGCCATGATCCAAAAATCAAAGCCCCAAATCTCTAGCTACCAAACCCTCAACCCTACCCTGATCCCAAAACTCCACAGAATCTGAAAAAAAAACTTCTGGCCTCCGGAGAGGACTCCAGGCCATCAAAGAACTTCACCTGGGATGCTGCGATGTTTTGAGGGCTTCGCCCTGCTAGGATTCGGGGTATGTAGTATATATATAGTCGTTATAGAATTCAGGGTCCCAGCAGTAGGGCGCCAGATAGGATCCTGATACATGGTGTGCCAGAATGTGATATGAACACTTGTTTAGCTGGGGTTTCCGCTTTGAAGATCAGCCAAAACCCCTACCTACAAAATCCTATGCGTCCATGATCTCCAATCCCTTGGACAAACCTTCAAGTTGATACATCCAAGTGGCCATTCTCAACAGTAGAAGCCTTCAGGTATAACAAATTCTCACCCTAAGCACACCTCAAAAGCGCCAGGAAACCTGGGGCCCTTGAGCCCCAGAGCCCGCACAACCTCACACCCCCAAGCCACCCCAAACAACCCAAAATCCAAACAGCTCATGAAACCTAAACCCTAGATAGCCCTCAGATCCCCTAAAGTCTACAACACGAATCTTGTGGTGAAGCCATGTCACAGCATCGTCAATGCAGGTCATGTGGGCTGTCTCCGGGCAGGGAAGGCCCGCCTTCACCAGCACCTGGGTTGGCAGCTCTGGAACTTGGGCTTAAGGGATTATTAGGGCTTAACGGACTAGGGTTTAGGGGATTAGGGTTTAAGGAATTAGGGATTGGAGGATTAGGGTTTTAGGATTTAGGGTTTAGGGTTTTTTGATGCAGGATTAGGGATTTGTTAGGGGAGCTCAATGTAAATCAGGCTTGGGTGGATGGCTCAAGATTCTTTCACGATCTGCCTGACCCTCAAACGCAACTTGCTGCAATCCCGGAATACGCACTTTCGTATGTTTCAGAAGCAGGAAACGGATCTTGGTCATACAAATACAGTCGAAATAGCAGTGACAATGTCAGACACTAACATTCCATTAACGGCTGCAAGGTGTTCCCTTGGATCGCTGACTTTGCACCGACTTTGGAAGAAACTTGCTACAGGATCCCACAAGCATTTTCTGGTACCTCTTTATACGTATGCCTGCACAAGCTGTTCTCAACAAATGTGGGCTCGTTACCTGATTTGCTTCTACAGTCTTTGCCAAAGTCCGAAACACCTGGTTGAAGGTGAACTACCTTATTATTTACTATATATACCCATTATGGTAACTTATTTTAAGTCCCTTAACAGCAACCCAGCACCTGGTTGAAGGTGAACTTGTTGTCAAGCTCATCACTGGTCAGGCCGTCAAAGGCGAACACACGGACGTTTGGTGGCAGCCTTTCCTCGCAGGTCCGCAGATCATGGATCATATAGGGATTATAGGGTTCTATTGGGACAATGGAAAATGAAATGGAATCTACTATTTAGGGTTTAGGGGGAAAAATAGGAGTCTCTGCAATCAGTAGTGGGAGGTGGCACAAGGAAGAATGCTGATTCTCACACGCCAAGCTATCGTCAAACAGTTAAACTATATAGCTGCCTGTGGAAGGTGTGCATCAAACTCGCTCCTGGCTTGATGAGGAGCAATAAGTACCCCCAGAAGCGCACTCTCCGCCTAACTGAGATAAGCGAGGCTTCGGGGGTATGATAGCACCATGAGCCCTCAACGCCTCACCTTCCACCCCTCTTGGAAAAATCCCTAAGCCATCTCCGGGACCTTCAGATGCGCATAGGCAGTGCTCTCCACTGGAGCTGTGCATGGAATGATCAGGTCAATGTTTTGTTCCATCACCTTGGGCTCCGCATGGTCGAAATGATGACCCCACAAAGACGACCACAAAAAATCAAAAACCATGAGCCAGCTGGCCAACCTCGCTCGGGCTGGCAAGGTTTTACTTGATTCCGTAGCTGCGCAAAAGCAGCATGGCAGCATAGCGAACACAGCCAGGAATGCTCCACGCCTTACCTTCCTAATCATCAGTTCTTCCTGCAACAGCCTTAAGCAAACGAACAAGGATGCGCGAAACTAGGGGAAAGCTTGACAGCAAGCCAGATGTTCGAACGCAAGGCACAATCTTGTGGATGGTGGCTTCCCACTCCTTCGGCTGCTGCGTCGGCCGAGGCAGCACGTAGTGCTTTGTCACATAAGTGCAGAACCGCGTGTGGCAGAACCTGGATTGGTTGCCATTTGGTGTTCAGGGCGAGTTTTTGCATTTGAATAGTCTGCAGTCCAACTGAGAAAAGGCTTTCCCCATTGTTTCTGCTGTCACCGCCCCTACTTTACGGCTGCTTGAATGCCAAGGGGGATCAGGCCTTCTACGGTGCATGACACAATGTTTCTATGTAGTAACGAAAGCGGCGGCGATTCGTGAAGAACAATTGGCAGTATTTGCTGATATGTATCTCGGGCAAGATTGTAGCGAGCAGTGTGTATTTTAAACCCCCCAAGCAGTACAAGAGAACGAGCAGTGCACACACGAAGGAATATGGATGAGTTGAAAGAGTCGAGCTTTTGAGCAGGAAAAGTGCAACGACATCTGAATTGGTGGTCAGCAGCCAGAAAAAATTAGGTAGGAAGTAGAATGCCCTGCAGCAGGACAGACAATACAGAAATTCACAGACTTGGTTGTTCTTGCAACTCGTATGAGACCTCAGAACAAGCTTACGCAGCTCCTGAGGCCCTGTGACAACAATGCAAGCTAGTTGCTGGTTTCCCTAAAAAAGGGCTAGGCATGGCTCGAAGCTACAAAGTCCTGTTGCGGCAGCAGTCTTGAGACAGGTCTACAGTAGGAAAAGAGGACACAGGAGCTAGCATGTCTTTTCGATACCTGACACGGACCCATGTGCAAATCCGTCTGAACCCAGGAGCTGGTAGGGCATGATCTCTGCCGTGAAGACGGTGTGACCTTCACGGCCCACGGCGCGTGCCACGGCGGACGCCTTCCAACGCCAGCATTTAGGAAAGGAGGAGTTGAGGCAAAGGGCTTAGAGGCTTTGACGGTTAAGGGCATACGGTATGCAGGTTAGGGCAAGGGGGATTTGGGGTGTATGATTTGGGAACGGAAGGCTAAGGATTATTGGTTTAGGAGGGATGCTTTGTGACTTAGAATGTAGAGTTGAGGAACTAGGAACACAGGATTTCGGACGCAAGGATTTGGCCTTCGGGGCTTCGGCTTGGACAGGTTTCTGTCTAGAAGCTTGGAACCAGGGGATCAAGCTGCAGTTTCAGATGCGCCCCCCGCGGTGAAAAAGGCTGTCCTGGCAAACCCTGAAGCCTCAAACTTAGAATTTGTGTTGAAATTTAGGCTTTGGATGGACGACATGCATGACTTCGCCGACGAATTTCTTGAATTCAAGAACTCCAAACCCTGACCGGTCAAAACCCTCATCAACCCTGAACCCCTCCACTCCCTTCGAAACCCTTGACCTAAAATGTCTGAGCCCCTAACCCCGGTCATCCACCCCTCTGTGCCTTTGACATTTTGCCTCCTGTGACCAGGATGCGGAGCGGCTTCTTCTTGGCCGAGTCACCCTTCTCGAAAGTTCCGCCCAGCCTGGGCTTGGAGGTTTGTAGTCCTTTTGGGGTAAAGGGATATAGGGACATCTCTAGTGAAACGCAGGGGCTTGCCTCCCATGAATAGGCATGTGTAGTTGGGGGAGTGCATGGTCCTTACAGGGTCCAAGATGGATTGCCTGGATTGACCATGCAGGATTTCAGGCAGAGAATTCGGCATAATTTTTCAACTGTGGCATACTCAGGCAGTTTGAGATTACGCTGGTCGTGCACGGAATCCACGGTAAGGACGACGTTAAGGTTCTTCCAGGTTTAGTATCCACAGTCATCAAGATTGATTGGGGCTTGTTGTCGAGGCCGGCGAGACTTGCGGCATTTCAGAAACAATAAAGGTTTGCTCAGGCTCTGACCCCTTCAGGAAAGGATTCGATATGCCCTGCAGGCCTTTAAATAGTTTCATAGTCATCCGCTCTGGAGGCCTCTGAGGACTTGAAAACCTGCGCTCAAGAGCGCAGAGTCTCAGGGGCTGGTACTTGGAATCGATGCTTTCGCTCCCATTTTAGGCCCCTCGCTGCTCCAGACGACATGGTCACATTGAAAGTGATCTTAATCCAAGCGTCGCCTTCTCCAAACATGACGTGTCTGAGGTCAGGGCTTACTCCACCTGAGCACACCTTCGCATGCCCTCGGCCTGCACCTGAAACCCTCGACCCAACGAAGCAGGTTTGCGCCTCAACACTAAACCGCAGTCCGAAAGCTCTTCGTGCTCAATCCAAGTACCCGTGAACTCTAGAAGCCAGCATCCCTAATCCGTAAATCCACCCTCGAACGCCTCAAACGCTGCCCAAGTTGCAGCTTGTGCCGGATCCAAGAGGCCAGGGCTAGAGCGGCGAGGAACGGGGCGAATGCCCATAAGCATAAGATTGCCTCGATGGCTTCCAGATGCCGGGCTCAGGGTGTTGAGTTTAGGAACTTTGGCTTAGGCGAAAGAATTCATGGCTGAGGTGTCATCTCTAAAAATTGGTGCTTCCAGAGCCCTGGAAAGTACAGGTCGAGGGTTTCAGTAATACACAGCTCAGAAGGATTTCGGCCAAGAGCTTAGGCTTTGATTGTACAGTTGTAAGAACTCTCAGGGGGTTGGCAGCACGGGCAGTAGAAGCATAACGGCATGGGGCTCAGGACTTGTGGTTTGGGCACTAGATTGCCTAAATTCAGCAATCATGTTCTCACGAATATGTCGTTAATTGATCAGGATTGGATTTCTGACCTGAGGAACATTACTTTTCACAGAGCTTGGGAGTGCTACCTCCACGGCTTGCTTACACTGTGTTCACGGGAACATGGCAAGTGCTGATAAGCTGAGTGAACATACCCCTTTGGGCTCACGATTCGGCAAGGTACTCCGCTTCAGATGTGCAACACTCACAGTTCAGGCCGGAGATAGCCCGCATAGCCTTGGGTCTGATACCTTGTATGCGGGAACGTTGTCTTGCTGCCCCGTGTTAGACTGCCAGATGTCAAAGCGGAGGCCCAAACCTACACCCTAAAACCTACCACAGCCCAATGAACCATCAAAGCCTCAGAAGGCACGAATTCTACAATACAAGGTCCCAAACCACACAGACCAAACTCCAAGAAAATGATTCAGAAACGTTACAACTCAAAAATCTAATCTCATCTACTTCCTTGCTGTGGCCTCAAAATTTTGAGGAGCAAAGAACTGGAAGTCTTTCTTAAAGCCCCTCGCAAAAGAAAGCCTGCATGTTACCCAGTTTCTGAAAGATCTTCAGAGCATTCAGGCTCTGGCCAAACTCTGAGTGCTATGGTTGCGACAGTTTTAGAAACCCACTTGGACACGTACAAAGTTACAACAGGGCTACTTCCCCCAATGACTCCCATGACGAAGCTTCCACCTGTTCTTCTAGGTGATACCGGTGGCAAGGCCCTGACTCTTACGTGTTTTCTTGTCCTCATGAGTAGCCAAGTTGCCGCAAGGGACTTACCACGCGCCTTCCACGATCCTGGAGCTGAGCAGACTGAGCTGATAGTCTCGGTAGCTGAGTCTGCGGTCGTCCTGAGACGCACGAGACAACCGGAATAGCGGAAGCTCCAGTGAAAAGTGAGTTTGGTGCCTGGGGTTTAGCATGTTGTGTGAGGCATGTTACTCTCAAAGATGGCCACTTGCAGGCTTTGGGTAGGTGCGGGCCGATTTACTTAGAAACTCGCCCCTCAAACAAGCTCAATACTTGAAACCCCCTAGAAGCAAGCCTGCTAACGTTTTCGCATTGCAGTGTGCTGGCAACATGCCTGCACTCCTATGCCAGCACCAGATATTACGTTTTTACGCCCAGAAGTCCCATTTCCCCCCGACACTTCAAAACCAAAAGAAACTCAGCGACCAAACCCCAAACCATCAACGGGGACACCCGGTCTTGGAAAATGGATTCTACATGTTATGGGCAGAAACACAAATCACAGAACGGAAAGAAGGGTTCTAAGTATACCGCCTGCAGGCTGAAGTGAAATGTCATTGTGGGTCTTGGTTGGTTCTGAGAAAGCGATCGTTCTGCCGCAAGATCTAAGTAAGCGTGTTTTGTGGCTCTCGCGGTTCTGTTTGCTCAGATTTGGCTCTTGCGGCATTAGATACCTAAAGTAGCAATGCAGTCCTGAACACCCGTACCAGTCCTCCGCTCACGCAAGTATGTCCCTGCTTGATTCGTGGTCCTTCATCTACCTCATGCCCCCAGCTGTTTGCAGCTTGGGTCTAGAACCATTTATCGTATCCCCCGGGCAGCCAACTGCCTCGAGACATTTCAAGACTACATGTCCAGAATTAAGGAGGCTGCAAACATTTCAGTTCCAGTCAAGGCTTCTCCGTCTCTGAAATCTCCTTGGCACCTCGCTGCCTCAGCCCTGGATTCACGATAGTGATCATGGCGGGAAGGGTTTATCTTGCAGTCTTGCAGGATGGTTATCAGGCGCTGTACGAGTGCAGCAAAAGCACAAGCCTCATCTAGCCCCAACAAAACTCATTCGATGTCACGAATATAGCTTTAGTAGGAAGAGTTTCCGTCAAGAGATGATATAATGCGTACAAGAGGTCGTGGACACGTTCAAAGTTGCTTGCTGATGCAAACGCTGCAATCGTTGCATAGTTTTTGCGCCATCACCATCCTGCATGCTGCCAAGTGAGCAAATGCTGCGGGTCAGTGGTCAAGTTCGCTCATAAGGACCAAAGCAGCCATAAGGCCGGAAACATCAATGTCAGAAAATGGGCTCCGTTCCTGGCAAACTCTGCATCCGATTTCCCAGTCACCCAGACTGCTACATGTTTCAAAGGTGAAAGGATACGGGGTCTGTCATGCACATCTCAAGGCCCTTGTGTCATGGAGCTCGTGGAAGGCAACTCTAGCCCATACCCCAATCTCGGAAGCTCAGGCAAGAAGTATGATCTAGCTATAAACGGCCTCGTCCTTGTAACGTGGGGCTAGTGAAATGCGGATAACAACCAGAGTGAAGAAGCTGGCCATGCATCAAGACAGCACCCCAGCAGTAATGGGCAGAGCCCCAAAGTCAGATTCCCAAGAGAAGGAGGCCTAAAATGTTTATCGGAAACACCTGCTTGCCAGAAACCGCCAAGTGGGAGTCATGCACAACGACAAACAATCCCCCCCCAAACTCTACACCCTGATCACTTAACCCCATCACCACCCTGCCAGGTACCCGGCGCAGGCTCCGTGATCGCGGCGGAGAGCCAAAAGCACAGCAGTTATTCGTGGCCTCACTGGTGGGAATGCCTACCATACCTTAAGTGGTACCCGCAGTAGGTCTGTGAGTTCAGCGTTTACGGGCTTCAGGTTGCGCGCGCTGATGTGCGACAATCTTGGGAATGTGTCCTCTTGCGAGAGGTTACAGCTCCCAAGACATGGAAGCTTCTTAGGTTGGATCTAGGTTTGAAGGTTGGGAGTGTACGACATGCAGAAGCCGGAAGACAACCTTGTCCTGCTCAGCCCTCTCAGGCAGGGACTATTGCAATCCAGCCACCACTGTCGGAATCTAAAATAATCCATGCGAAATCTGGGCTGTTTCCTAGCTCGCGGAACCCGTCTAGAATCCTTCAGGAGTCTTGGCTCAACTGCTTCTACCTGCTTTTGGGTAGCAACTGTTGCATTCACCCTGTCATGGACAAACCAAAGAAGCTGCGAGCACAGCCCTGAACACGGTGACCCCTCAACCTTACAAATGCTCGACACACGGAGACTCACACAAGCCGCCTACGCCGCAAATCAAGTAATCTCGAACCTGTTGTGAACCCCAAATCATGTGCCCTGAGGACTGGGAACTCCTAAAACGCCACTTTCTACATCAAGGTCTGTTCAAGAATTGGGTGTCTTGCGGAGGTGCCAAGCTGTCGACGAAGGCCAGGAACTCACTTCCTGCATGTGACAGACAGGGGCATGCACCAGCTCTCCAACAGTTAGACGTGGAGGGCGGCAAAACCGTTTGATACCAGCATACTTACCATCCGAACGACTCCTGTAGATGGAGCAGCCATGGTTTGTGATTCAGGGCTTAAGATTCAAGATCTTCGGGCTGCATTGAAATGGGATATACTTCCTGACAACTAAGCTAACGAAGATAATTATGAGAAATAACTTATCTATCACAGTTCATTCCAGATTCTCGTCAAAGCTTTTCGCGGCGGAACCCCAGGCGCGCCCCCTTTAAAAACGGGGCTTCCTGTGGATCCAAACAATATGATTTCAGGCCTATGGCCGGAATCCCCGCTCAAAACAAGTGCAACCCCCTAGATCTCAAGAACTTGTTTTGGGCAATTTTAGGGGCACGGAGCAGCACGTTGAAGGCAGACGCACTTTTGAGGCGAAACCCTCTAGATCCATAAAATGGATTTCCAAGCCCTAAAAACCACAGGAAGGATTTCTCAAATTGTTCTTCAACTGATGTTAAACAGATTTCGAAATAGATTTCAACTTATTTATGAGCACGTTTAGGAAGTCGCATTATAAGTTTAAGGTTTAGGGAGACTCACATAAATACCTGGCTGCAGTCAACATGAGAATAGGAAAGCTGATTCTAAACCCTGATTTGCTTATTCAAGTT